TGTGTGTGTGTGTGTGTGTGTGTGTGTGTGTGTGTGTGTGTGTATATATATATATATATATATATATATATATATATATATATATATTGTTAATCTATGCATTCATGTATGCTTGTCAATATATGTACATATTTATATATAGATATACTTGATGAATTTACATACTAGATATACATGATTAAGAACTCACTTACTAGATGCCGAAACTAAAATATTTATTTGAATTTTCTTTTTGTGTATATCCATAGTTGTACACAAATGAATTGACAGGCGTAACATGTATTGTTCGACGCAAACATGTACAATCCTTGGGTGTCCATTTATCGAATAGCACGGATGTACTTTGTCCATTAAAAATGGGAATAGATAGATAAGTCGGGAGTCAGATAACCCACTCCTGTGGACCAGGTTGATGAGTACGATCACTGATGGCACGATTGCAAATAAATTATATGGCCATCTAAAATTCTAAATAAATACTCTCTCTCTCTACCACTATGTACTAAGATACTCTTCACTCTACTTGTAGTAGTAGTAGTAAAAACTGTAAATAGAGGATCCGATGCCGACGTCTATTTATAACTTTTTCTAAAACGAAATCTATAATAAAATAGTCGCTATCATCGCAATCGTATTGGTCAGGTATCCAGAGACCAGTATCGATGCGTTTTGGGGGGCTTTTCTCATATCTGCAATGCACATCGATATTTAAATATACTGTGAGCCAGTGGGGTGCTTCTTATTTTAAAGACTTGGAAATGGATGTCAGAAGTTATGTATTACGTGAATCAATGAGACATTTATATTTATATGTTAATAAGAACGAAGTTGGCATCACATTTCACTCGTGAGAGGTGCAAAGTAACGATACTATTCCAAGATGCAACCGCAAAACTCGACAGATAGACAGATGCGGAGACGACGCAGGCAGTTCGGTGCGCCTGTCAGATGTCACGTGTGCAACAATTTGGGCCACAAATGGGTTGATTGCCCTACAGATGGTCTATACTCCAGTTATGCGGACCCAGTTTTGAGTACCTTTGATAGGACGCGGTCACCAACATCTCCCGCGTCTGCGTATACTCAGTCGACCCAATGTGTTGTCCCGAACTCACAAAGCACTTGGCTGGCGGCGAATGCGCAGAATCAAAGTCAGCAGTCAAAGTTTACATACCAACATCAACAGCAAGGTGGTGAGCTTAATACTCAGTCGAACTCGGATACCTCTTCTGTCAACGCTGATGATGGTACACCCAAAAAACGGAAACACCGAGCTGGAGTTAGAAATAGAAAACTGAAGGATCTGCCGGATGACTGGAGAGATAGATGTTTTCGGTGCCACAGTTTGGATCACAGAGCAGTTTCATGCCCTACCAGGCAGAAAAACAAAAACCTCGATACAAACACGCCAGTAGAATCGAGCACAGCGGTCGAGCCCACTACAGAAGTTGAACCTGGCACTCCAGTCAGTGCAACAATCAACCCAATTGCAACAGTACAATGTAAAACAGCAGTCAAATCCAGTACACCAGACGAATCCGCTTCCGCGGTACCACCCAGTACACCAGTAAAATCCAAATTCGGCTCATCGGTTGAATCCAGTACAACACTCGAATGCGGTACAGCAGTACCACCCAGTTCATCGGTATTAACCAGTAAAGCAGCACAAACCAGCACGTCAGTAAAAGTCGAATCCGGTACGGTCAAACCCAGTACACCAACTCATCCCAGTAGCGCGAAACAAGATACACCCTATTTTGACGCTAGACTGTCGTCACCAATTGCGTTCAAACAAAAGGTTTTATCCCTCTTCAGCGACCTACCAGCGCATGAAAGATCCCAAGTAATTGCGACCCTTATAAGTGAGCTGCCTATCGCCACAAGATCTCGGATGATTTCTTACCTAGTTCGTGATCTGCCATATGAGGCAAGGCAACATCTGATAAATAATTTACTTGTGCCACAGATGGACGATTACTTGAGCCCAATGTCAAGTTGTCTTTCCGAAGAAATGGACTATTCTGAATTCTATGACGAGGGCATAGAAACGCGAGAACCATTCTGTTACAAAGGCCCGGAGATCATCGCACAACCTCATAACAAGAGAATGGGAGTCCCAACACCATACCATAGTAGCACCCCTATGAGATCCGCTCCAGTGTATAGCCGTGCCATTAGTCTGACAACATACAATAATTATCATGTGCCACCTGCGGCTTTTCCGCAGACATTCGTGAGTCACCAGAAATCGAGTTTGGTACCGGATACTAAAACTCGTGATCGAGCCTCAAGATATGCAGCTATATTTGCTAAGAGTGAAGGTTGTGCCTAATTGCTAATTTTCGCTCCAGCCCATACTCAAGTAGGCTCCTTGAAGCCGATACAGGCTTGCATTCTTTGATCGTGGCGAAATTGCGTATGATCTATTGAAAGCATTCGGATGATCTGCCATGATCAGAAATAGTGGTGAAGATACGCGATGCAGAGATGATGACTGAGATAATGACTGAATTTCCACTAAAACATGTTCTAACCCATTTGAAGCATACAGATTTTTCTGGAATTGAAAAACGCATATTTATATTTATGTTGACACCAAAAACATCAATCAGCATAAGGTATTGCTGTGACATCCCAAAGGAAATAAATATTCACTTAAATATTAACACGTAAACTGAGTAGGATCATTGCAGTATATTTTCGTCCACCTCTATCTGTTAATAGTGGTGGATATGTCAAACGTACCATGTAGGGATTTTGAATGTTCACAGATATGTCAAAACTCAAACTGTGTCATATCGTTGACAATATATTTCAAAATAAACGATGCTCGAAACGAAGAGGGGCGCGTCAGGGTGAATGACCTTATATAGACCTTTATATATATATATTGATAGTGGTGGATATGTTGAATATGCTAAAGTTTTTGAGTAGCTATTCTGACATTGTGTTTCCAGACAACAAGTATAAATAACTGCAGAAAATTACATCCAGTATCATAAATAGGAGCTTCTCTATTCTCTAAGGCGGAGGTGTTCTCTATTTTTTTTTTCTGTATTGGAAATTGTACGCCATACTGTAGAGGTAAATAATGTGTAAATACCTCCCGGATTTTGTTTTTAGCTATCAAACTGAGCCTATTCGGTATAATGCGAGCTTTTTAGTTGAATGTCGTGAACAAATTTTAACCTTTCGTAATTGCACGAAGTGCTTGAAGGTTTACATCTCTCCAGGAAGCAATACTGCGATTTCTAGTGATAGCACACCAACACCCAGAACAATCTTACAAATGCATTGAGTTCTTCTACTGCCATGACAAGACCAATAAAGACTTCATTCTATGTGCGCCCCATTTATAATATTTATACATACAGCACGTTTCGCGTGTATGATTTTGTGTTTTCTTATTAGAAGGCTATGGATTTCCTCATAGCCCTGAGCCCTCTGAAATACATTTCGTGCTTCAATTTATTTTTAGACGGCCATGATTTCGTGAATTTTATTGAATATCTTGTGTGATGACACATCGACACTTGATGACATATTGACATTTGATGACATATTGACATTTGATGACATATTGACATTTGATGACTTATTGACATTTGATGACTTATTGACATTTGATGACTTTATTGACATTTGATGACTTATTGACATTTGATGACTTATTGACATTTGATGACTTATTGACATTTGATGACTTATTGACATTTGATGACATATTGACATTTGATGACTTATTGACATTTGATGACTTATTGACATTTGATGACTTATTGACATTTGATGACTTATTGACATTTGATGACTTATTGACATTTGATGACTTATTGACATTTGATGACATATTACATACTGTATTTGGCACTTAACCGATATGTCAACGAGAAAATGTCAAAATTGACCCTCGCCTCCTAAAACGACTGTTTCACGTGTATTTGTTCATAGCCGCCTTCTACAGCACCGTATTTATTGTAGCATAACATACGTATAAACATATCACACCCTAACAGGTCTCAACACTATTGTGATCAACACATAATCATTTGTAATCTTAGGTGCACTAATAATATATCCATATAAAATGGATTCCTACTTACCAGTGCTAATCACCCACTCGGGCTCTGCCGCCCGCGTGGAGCGTAGCTTCAAGGAGGAGCTCACAGTTGGTGAGCTCAAGAACAAGCTGGAACTTATCACTGGTGTACAAACCACGGTATGTTGAATTTTGCGAGGTTGTCCACTCCATGTGTAGAACTCGGAGATTGTGAGTATGCATATCGCTATCCTTGTCCGTCCCATAAGATTCGCTGCGCCTTGCGCAACCTGTTTATAGATGCATATATATGTGTGTGTGTGTGTGCGTGTGTGCGTGTGCGTAGGTATATATATATATAGTTACTTTTGTTATATTTATACACACACACACACAAACATATATATATATATATATATTAATATATTTTTCCATATATATATAAATGTATACATATGTCATATATATATATATATATATATATATATATATATATATATATATATCGTGATAAGTCGGACCATCATTAACGTACTATTTTCTCTGAACTACGTGTTATCCTGAAAACCATGTTCTATATTACTTCCCGAACCGTCATCAGCATTGAATGAATCGCCTTTAGCGAATTCGGTAGCTCCTGCCACGTTGAAGAGTGATGGCGTTGATTACCTTCCAGCAAAATTCCCAGCCTCAACGCCGAACGGAAGCGTTGCGTTTGATTTAACTGAATTGGCCAAGGTGGTACAATGGGTGAAAGTCAAGCTACAAAGCACACGGTTCGATGGCGATCTCGGTATGTTATTGTCTCTTTACGACGACTGCACACATGCACGGGTCTTGGTTGCTATTCGTCTATTCTTCATTCGATTGCGTATACCGTCTTGTCGTGTTACACACATGCACGGGTCTTGGTTACTATTCTTCTATTCTTCATCCGATAGCGTATACCGTCTTGTCGTGTTACACACATGCACGGGTCTTGGTTACTATTCTTCTGTTCTTCATCTGATTTCGTATACCGTCTTGTCGTGTTGCACCCATGCACGGTTCTTGGTGGCTATTCTTCTATTCTTCATCTGATTTCGTATACCGTCTTGTCGTGTTGCGCCGGGAGGGTGATCACGTGTAGAAGAATGGCACACACAACCTTATGGTCAAACGTCGCATGTCCACTTGCACCCTAACAGGTAGGGTGAGCACCGGCATCTCAGCCAGACCTGAGTATATTCAGCCGGAGTATACTGTTATGCCGGAGCCGATTGTGGATAGGGGTAGGTGGATCAAGAATCTCGGCGTTCGTTGTAGTAGGCAATATACATCTAATATAGTACCACACAGTTTGGATATGTTGAGTATGTTTATACCTATGCATTTATTTGTTAGAATATCTATAGGTGTCTATCTGACTATGTACTTCGAATAGTCAAGCGTTATAGGCGGTCGCGTATGCTTCATAACATGTGTGATAAAATACAGCCGTTTCAGGCACACACCCGGTTGACCTGTACACACAGTATATTGCTGCAAAATTGAACACATCTGAAACTGGTTTCGCTCACCTTTCTACATCAATTGCTTATTTCTGCAGCATCACTCCGGTTATACTAGTATATATGAGATTTGTAGTAAGTTTCAAAGTAAAACTCATCATAACTGTGCGAGCGATTTCGCCTGGCTTATGGTCAGCATATCATTAGTTGGGTATTTTTTTAGGTCTGCTTTTTAGAAAGGGCCGCATATTCCATCCCGCAATTCTGTGTTTACACTTCCCCAGTATATATATATATAAATATATATATATATATATATATATATTATATATATATATATATATATATATATATATATATATATATATATATATATATATATATATATATATATATATATATATATATATATATATATATATATATATAT